AAATTCTTTGCACCGGTAACATTATAATATTATTTGCAAAGATTATATATCCATATTCAGATGTAACCTGAACGCTGTGGTCACATTAGACTTTAATCATCCGATATAATTTACAAGCCACATCGCTTTTAAATTCGCGTGTTGAATTTAGCCACGGGGTCAATCTGTGACATTTACAATCTCAAATGTAGGTCAAATATGGGTTAAATGACTATTCATTACGCAAATGCACTTGCCAGAGTTCACCAAACGTGAACCATGGTGCGTGATGGAAGATAAAACCTTTTCGCATGAGCGTTTCTGGTCTCCCACGTTTACGTCCATATGATTGGAAGCGAATGGAGCGTGAAGTCTAGTGTGACCACAGCGTAAACTTACAGAAAGTCCTGTGGTAGATCACTCTGTCCATCGATCATAGCTTATTATCCATGAAGATCAACTTTTAAAATGAAGCATGACATTGATTAAGTGAGTTTTGAAGTTCTTATATAAATACTCCCCCCTATACAGCTATAATAATTCTTCACTATGGACACCAAAAAAACGGTATAAAAAAGTATTAATTTTGAGCAGTGTACACACTACCATTCAGAAGCTTAATATATTTATGGAAATCTTTTTTTTTTTTTTTTTACAGGATTCTTTGAATAGAATATACACACTTTTTAACCATTTTAGAAGGTTACCACATCCAAGGAACAGATAATGTTTCTTATTTCTTTGTTTATTTTAGGGCTGCCACTAACGGCTATTTTTATTTCGATTAATCTATCGACTAATTTATCGATTAATCTAGACGATTAATTTCCCACTCAAAAAAACAACAATTTCACTTAATATTTTATTTAACTATATTTTATTAAACCAAATGAAATCCAAATTTCTATGAAATCATAGTCCAAATCACTGAAATCAAAGTTCAGTATTATAGTGTAAGAATGACAACATATCCACGTGTTATAGTCTACTAATATTACAATTATAATCAAAAAACACTTTTTAAAGGAGTATTTACCAGAAATGTTATTTGTCAGAATTCATTTAGGAGAAAAATGTAAATGTGCAGTATTTCTGAAAAAAAAAAGAATTTTATTTTATTTTATTTTTTTTTATAAAATCAATTAATTGGAGATTCTTCCTATAATTATAATAATTTTTTTTTGTGATAATAAAAATAGATGTAAGTGAACAATAGCCTTTAAAATGACTTAAAATACATATATAATAGCAATGAGGCAATAATAATTAGTTCAAATAAAGTATCAAAAGCAAGAAATCATATGGTTTTTTGAACAAAACTGTTAAAATACATAATGTATTATAAACAATAGAGCTAATGTACATTACACATTACAACAAAGGCCTGCAGGGGGCGCCAACGGCCTGACGATTGTTTTTACACACTGCTGTGCGATCTAATACTTTAATATTGACCAAGCACCATTTAATTCAAATGTCCACTTAATCTTTAATATTTTGCCATTTCTTTAGGACAGAAATGCTATAGCCACTGTAATTAAAAGAATATGTGGACATCAAAACGTGTAAACTGCATTCCCAGATGAACGTTATAATAAACCCAAACTCACAACATGCTGAGATGGAGTTTGAGACGCTCCACACATGTAAATGATAACAGTCCGTGAAATGCGCCACTTCCGGTATTTTGCCAGTTAGTCGACGAGAGCTAAATGAAGTCGAGGATTTTTAAAAATCAAATAGTCTAATAAAATCGACGAATCGCGGCAGCCCTAGTTTATTTCACATTATGGCAATTGTCACTAGCATATAATCAAGCAATTTATACGAATGTAACATCTGCAGTAGCTTATCTCCAGGTTTTGGGCCCCTGAGGGCCTCTCAGCTGGAGGCCCAACATTGTGAGGCCGTATAATCCATACTTGATGGTCCTGACTTGATTCATAATCCATCCTTGAGTGGCATCATGCTTAACAGAGTTAAAGTCACTAGATTGATTCTAAGATCAAAATTGTGGCCGTTATGTAGTGCAGAAAACCTTCAACACGAACTGCTACTGCCATCTAGTGGTTGCTTGTTCTCTCATAAAAGTATTATTTGAAACTTCTGGTGGAAAATGTCTCTGAAGACCAAGAGTTGATGGGGGTAATGAGAGGGTAACAGACACTGACATTGGCTCGTCCGGCCTGCATCCAGGAAACGTGGCATTCCACAATCAAACACATGCCATCTGCATTTTACCATCCTTCATGGACAACGAGGGGAATCCCTGTCTGTTTTCATGACATTCTTGGGGAGGGAGGGAGGGAGAAAGAGAGGAAATCTGTCCTCTACTCTGAAGTAAAAGAGCATCTGGCCCTCGCTGTCGAGCCGCATAGCTTCCATGACCTTCACCCTGCTATACGAGCTGCAGTAACATTGGCTGAATAATTGTGGTAACCCAAACCCCACGCTAGTCCCTGCACTCTCATCTCTACAGCTCTCACCTGTTCTTCAGAGCCCAGGGCCAAAGCCGAGGAGAGCGCTTCCTGCTGGTAACCTAGGAATGAGGATTGTGTGTCAATGATTTACTCTGCTAAATGCCTGTGTGGGAACATTTTTCAGTTTTTAATGGACAAACGGAATGCTTGTGATAACAAGGCATCCTTTCATGCCTCATTGACACCCAGTATTGATGTTTGTCGTCACAGTTGGAGAATTCCTTGTAGCTTTTTGGGGTTGTTCAACAAAGTTTGAAAGTTCAGCAACATACCAACATAACGGACAGGTAATTTGTCATCTTAATGCTTGACTTGTTAAAACCTTGTAAAATAAAACTTTGACCCTTTGCTCTAGTTTGTATGAAATTCTGTTTGAGATTCGATCAGATCTTATACCGCCACCTACTGGATATTACATGTGGTGCAAGGGAATATCGGATTACTGCTTACAATACTATTTTCAGGGTCACATTAGGTAACTGCTAACCCTTATGATATCTGAAATGATCAATTCCATCCACCTATTTTGGTTCAGTTATTTATAACTGATGTATACATTTGTATTTAACCTTAAAAATATATATTATGTAAACTTGTTTCTGTGGCAAATGTGAACATTCAGCAGTCATTATTCCAGTCTTCAGTGACGTGACATGTGGCCAAGTATGGTGACCCATACTTGGAATTAGTGCTCTGCATTTAACCCATCCAAAGTGCACACACACAGCAGTGAACACACACACACCGTGAACACACACCCGGAGCAGTGGGCAGCCATTTATGCAGTTCGGTTCAGTTCAGTTCGGTGCCTTGCTCAAGGGCACCTCAGTCATGGTATTGAAGGTGGAAGAGAGCACTGTACATTCACTCCCCCCACCTACAATTCCTGCTGGACAGGAGACTAGAACCCGCAACCTTTGGGTTACGAGTCCAACTCTCTAACCATTAGGCCACGACTTCCCCATCTGCATTCATGATCCTTCAGAAATCATTTTAATATGACAGAGCTCAAGTAACATTTATCAATGTTGAAAACAATGTTGAAAACAATGTTGAAAGTAGTTTTTTTTGTTGTTTTTTAAAGGTGCCATAGAATGCATTGATGCGATATTTTAAATTGTTCTCTGATATCTACATAGAAGGTATGTGGCTTAGGTAAGGGCAAAAAAATCTCCAGAAACGGTTTTACATGTCCAATTACCACCCTGGGATTTGTCCCTAGAATGAAAGTTTTTACCTTATTTGGAAGGGTCATGAATAACAATATTGAGCTCTGCTCTGATTGGCTGTTTCACAGTGCGGCTCAATGTTGAGCTCTACTCTGATTGGCTGTTTCACAGTGCGGCTCATTTCAGTAGCTCACACAGCAGGAAGGAAACACAGGGAAAATATATACTTTCTCTCGCAGTTATATCGTTGGGTAATTATATTGTATATAAAATGCGGACATCAGGGAGCCGCTATAAATATGTGGGGCATTGAAACTGCTTTCGAATGCACGATCGCGTTTTACATCATCCTCAGTCATCTCTCCTTACTCGGTTTATGTGGTAAGTGAAATCTTATGTACTGTAATGTAACGGGCTACTGCTAGCAAGCAACTAACCATGTCCCTTTAGTGGCTGGCGTTAACTTTCTGTGCCTTTCTGAATACAGACACCAACCCATCCCTGCACTTCACATTCCCTGCACAGCCTGGAACATATTTATTTCCATGATCTGCCATTTTCGCTGTTGTCCTCGCTTGTTTCTTCACAATACCTGCAGAACTTCTGATGATTCGGCTGTGCAGGTCCACCTGGCATAGAACATGGGCAGGTATATGCAAATGTTGGGGGCTTACATATTAGTGATCCCGACTGTAACGTCACAGTCGTGTTATGTTCTGAGTCGCCTATTTTTCAGTGGTCTTTTGCATGCATAAGATTTACATAAGGAGGAAACAATGGTGTTTAAGGCTCACGGTATGTCATTTCCATGTACAGAACTGTTATTATTCAACTATGCCAAGGTAAATACAGTTTCCCATTCTATGGCACCTTTAAAACTTATAATAATACTTTTCTTTTTGAAAATTCAGCAAGGATGCATTAAATTAATTAAAAGTGACAGTAAGGACGTTTAAATTGTAACACAGAAAACAAAATTATATTTACAGCAACTGTTTTCAACATTGATAATGAGAAATATTACTTAAGCAACCATCATATTAGAATAATACCCGAGGGTCACTGAAGTCTGGAGTAACTGCTGCTGAAAATTCAGCTTTGCCACAAAGGAGTTCACACAACCAATTTAGGTAATGTAAACCAGATCTATGTTTAAATTGCATTTGCAATAAATCCATCATACACCATGTCATAACCAGTCATGACCGCTACAAGGAACAAAACATTTGTCACATACTACTATACACCGTGAAATACCACAACAACTTATGCATTTTAGAGATGAACCATAAACAGCAAGTATCCAAAATTAGAATTCATTATTCATATACATCTCAAAATATCACAGTCCAAATGAATACTCATCAACATCTTTTTAAATTACAAAAGGACCAGAGTTTTATTGAGATTAAGGCACAATACAATAATTCGATTGTATGTAATAACCTTAAGATGCTAAATTCTGATGATTTCTCTCTCTGGATAGTAGCAGGTGATGGGTCATGTAATCAAAGTCAGAATGCACCACATCAGTTGGACTTAAATATGATGTTAGTTAAATGCCATTTCTACAGTATTGCCCCAATATATCAGTTACGGTTTAGTGTAGCGTACGTATTTTTTCCCAGAAGGCACCTCTTTGAGGGTAAAACCTGCTGGGAAAAGTTTGTTGGCTTCTTCATCCGACAAAGAAGGGATGACCATGACTTCTTGACCAGAGGCTTAAAAAAAAAAAAAAAAAAAAAAAAAAAAAAAAAAAGGAAGGGAAAAAATACAAATAAATTTAACTTCACTATTTTTTTTTCTCGGACCACATAAGAAAAATAAATTTATAATTAAAATAAAAAACAAATAAATTCTTCCATATAGTAAGGAAAGAAAGGCTGTTTCTTACCTTCCAGTCAACAGGTGTGGCCACCTTCTTTGTTGCAGTCAGCTGCAGAGAGTCTATGACACGGAGAATCTCATCGAAATTGCGCCCTGTAGTGGCTGGATAGAGAATGGACAGCTTCAGCCTCTTATCTGGGCCAACGACAAACACCTGAAATATAATAAATATGGTAAGTGCAGATAGAAAGAAGCACTTTTAGTTTCATAATTGGTGGCATAATGAAATAACACCACACTAATCCTATTCAGTGACCGTATAACAGTATAAACAACAGCATCAAATATCTTGATGTATTGAGATAGATCTTTCGGCAGGCTCCTTAGGGTTTTCTAGTATTGACAACTTTTGTTGTTAAGGGGGTCCTATTATGCTCTTTTACAAAGTCTTATATTGCGTCAATATCAAATCAATTTGAGCGTGATTTAAACCCGGATGATTGTAACTACTCTAAGTTCGTCTGCCTTGGGAAAGCTAGCGTGTCTCCGACATAGTGATAACACTCGTGGCCTTCTCTAGTGCAGCTCAACCAGGTCTCATCCTATTCGTCGATATTTGTGATATCACAAATCCCAGAAAATATGCGTTGTAGTCCAAACGAGTCGTTCGTTGTAGTTTTTGAAAAGTGATTTCTGTTAAATAAAATATCTCCTTTTGAAGTGAACTTTGAGCATAAAAAAAGATCTGCAAAGTTACAAAGTTCAAACAGCAACAATACAGACTAACTAAAGTTGAAAAAGTGAAAAAGCATAATAGGACCCCTTTAAGCTGCTAAAGCACATGTTGTAGCAAAGACTAGATTAAATCTGCGGGTACATGGAGCAATGGAAGCATTACATGCAGCAGAACATCAACAGAAATTTAGTGAGGCGGATCAGAGTTTCACAATCACCTATTCAGGCATTGGTCACGACCAAGACATTAAAAGCAATGGTTCTCAAACTTTTTGACTCCAAATCCCACTTAGAAATTATTTATAAGCCAACTTGTACCTCTGGCACTTCTGTTGTCATGAACAAATAAATTCAAAAACCTGATTTTGAAAACCATATGGTTTAAAAAATATTGTACATTTTTATTTTTTAAAGATTTTAATTAGCATGTGTTAAAGGGGTCATATGATGTTGCTAAAAAGAACATTATTTTGTGTATTTGGTGTAATGAAATGTGTTTATGCGGTTTAAGGTTCAAAAAACACATTATTTTCCACATACTGTACATTGTTTCTCCTCTATGCCCCACCTTTCTGAAACGCCTCGATTTTTGCAAAGCTCATCGGTCTGAAAAGCAAGGTGTGCTCTGATTGGCCAGCTATCCAGTGCATTGTGATTTGGCCAAATACCTCAAGCATGTGATGGAAATGTTACGCCTCTTACCATATTGTGATGCCCTGTCCGGCCGGAGCGATGAGACAAAAACATTAAAACCCATCATTATAAACGAAGCGTGGTTACACTTTACTTGAAGGGGTGTGCATAAGACTGACATGACACCTTCATAATCATGGCATGACACATGTCATGAATATGAAAGTTTTTTTATGCATGTTTATGACAACTGTCATTAAGTGTCATTCGCTCAGTTATGTAATTTTTAATGCAAAGATGACATTGTTTGAGATGTCTTTGTTATGGGCTATGGTTAGGGGTAAGGGTAGGGGTAGGGTT